CCACGCGGATCACCTCGAGACCTCGCGGTGCCCTGGGGGCTGCGATCTGCGCAATTGTCGCCACTTTCGTGGGCTCCTGGGAGGCCCAGCGGAGGTACGTCCCACGCGGATCACCTCGAGACCTCGCGGTGCCTTGGGGGCTGCGATCTGCGCAATTGTCGCCACTTTCGTGGGCTCCTGGGAGGCCCAGCGTAGGTACGTCCCACGCGGATCACCTCGAGACCTCGCCGCCCCCTTGGGGGCTTGCGATCTGCGCAATTGTCGCCACTTTCGTGGGCTCCTGGGAGGCCCAGTGGAGGTGGGTCCCACGCGGATCACCTCGGGACCTCGCCCCCCCCTGGGGGGCTTGCGATCTGTGCAATTGTTGCCACTGTCGTGGGCTCTTGGGAGGCCCATCGGATGTGGGTCCCACGCGCATCACCTCGAGACCTCGCGGTGCCCTGGGGGCTGCGATCTGCGCAACTGTGGGCTCCTGGGAGGCCCAGCGGAGGTGGGTCCCATGCAGATCACCTCGGGACCTCGCCGCCCCCTGGGGGGCTTGCGATCTGCGCAATTGTCGCCACTTTCGTGGGCTCCTGGGAGGCCCAGCGGAGGTGGGTCCCACGCGAATCACCTCGAGACCTCGCCGCCCCTGGGGGGCTTGCGATTTTCGCAACTGTTGCCGCTTTCGTGGGCTCCTGGCAGGCCCAGCGGAGGTGGGTCCCATGCAGATCACCTCGGGACCTCGCCGCCCCCTTGGGGGCTGCGATCTGCGCAATTGTCGCCACTTTCGTGGGCTCCTGGGATGCCCAGCGGAGGTGGGTCCCACGTGGATCATTGGGAGGTACGTCATATGTGTTCTTTCAACGCCCCTGTGTTTCCATTTTGTATAGTTGCCGTTCCTCGTCTTGCTGCGCTCTTCTGAAATCACTGTTGGGTGCTCTTCTTGCGCACTGCGGGTCCTTCAGAATGTCAGTCAGCATTGAGTGGTCCTGAGTATAATCGCCACATGTCTAGGAAGGGTTGGGTACGTCACAGGGTAATTTCTTTTTCCCCGGGGGAGGTGAGACAGAGTGTCCGTCTGTGGTTCGTTTTCCGTCGGCTTAGATGTTCCGTCAGGTCAGGGGGGGGTCTGTGCGCCGCATTGGGGCCATCTTGGGCCGTCTTGGAGGTATGGTGTCGGCCTGTGTTGCTTGCTTCGACCGTCTTGGAAGCATGGTAGAGTGGTCCTGTGAATTTTAAACCGGATCGTGGTTTCGAGAGCGCGGAGTCACGGTTGTTGCACGAGGGATTGGCCTCGGAAACGTGGATCCATCGTTTTCTACGAGGGATGGTGGCCTCGAGGGGGATGCATGCAGTTGGATGCGTAGAGAGCGGAAAGGGGTCGCCTTTTGAAAGGTTGCAGAACACATTTACCAGACGGCCCTTGGCATGGTACCATGTCTCAGCGTGCCAGGGGGCACAGCCCGCGGCCCCGCGAGACACGTGTCTCAACGAGTCAGTTGTTCCAGCTTTCAAGTCTTCCAGCGCTACATTTCTCCAGCTAACTTCTGCAGTCAACGGCGACAAGTCGACGGGATGTAAGCCTTGCGCTCTGTCCGGCCTCTCCGCAGCCTTTGATGGTCTGCAGCTGGGCAGGGTTGGAGAGGTGTTGGGTGCACCGCAGGTCGGGCAGGTCCCAGCAGGGGGTGGGGCTACAGTGGAGGCCCGTGTCAAAAAGCACCCTGCTCGCCTCCAGGGTGCCCTGGGTTTCTTGGATTTCGATGGTTTTGCTGTGGGAAGCGTGGCGCTCCCAAACCAAACAATCAGTTGACATCCTGGGGTCCCAGGGTTGGGTTCCTTGTGGGCTGGCCTCCACTGTACTCGGGGTGATCGAGGGCGGCAGACCTGGCCGCGGGGTCGCTGCCCCCTTCCTCGCCCCCCTGGCCTCCAGGCCTCCCAGAGGGGGTCGGAGCAGATGGGGTCGGAGGATCGCGGCGCATCGCCGATGCATCGGCGATGCGGCTCCATGTGGGGCCCAACTTTCTCCACGCCGACGTCGCCGAGACATCGCTGACGTTGCCAGTGCATCGGCGATGCATCGGCGATGCATCGTCGATGTATCGGCGATGCAGTGAGATCCTCCGGCCGCATCTACTCGGACCCCATCTAGGAGGCCTCTGTGGTCGCACATCGCGAGGCGCTGCTGTCCGAGTGGACGCAGGACCGTCCCCAAACGAGCCCGAAGCTGTCGTGATGCGAGCGGAGGCGACGAGAGGGGCGGATGGCCCAGGGGGGAGCAATTCGTGTATTTCCAGGGGCGCCGATGGTCCATGCCTTCGGCGAGGGTCCCGGGCGAATGCGCGTAACCCCTCACACGCTTCGTGGCCCCATAGGGAGCTCCACCGAATGCCCCAGTGACTGCGTTCGCATGCGTCCGCGCCGCAAAGTTCGGCAAATCACTTATGGCGACTTTCGCATGCGTCCGCGCCGCGAATTTCGGCACACCCATCACACGTTCCAGTGCAACCCCAACGGTACCCCGCGAAACTTGGCGACCAGAAGACGACGAGGCCGCCCTCGGCAGCAGTGGGCAACATAAGCATATATGATACTATGTTTGTTTCAATTTTTTCGTTGTTGTTTTACTTCTGATCTTTG